TAATGACATTAAGATAATTACTCATTTGCTTTATCCCCTAGGGTGTATGTATAAAAGTACCTACATTACCAGTAACAACAAAACCATCGTATGCTGTTTAAGATTTTTTTGTGGTTCTTTTTGTTCTTATGATATATCCTAACCAGGATGTCCAGTCAAATTACTGTTTTGCTATTGAATAAAGTAAGAATTCATGAGTCTGTGCTGATGTAAATAAGTAAATGAACAGACAGAAGGAGAAACTTTCATGTAAATATAAAGCCAATTAATCAATGTAAAAGAAATTCTGGCACTAGAAATCATCATTTGGCAGTTATCATCATGATAACGGATGCAAGTGAGAACCATCAAAAGGTAGTTACTAGTGGGTAAAAGTCTGAACAGTGACAGGATATTTGTATAATCTCAGAGTAACTCTCCAGAGGATATTTATTAGCTACAAAAGTTAAATAGTAATTTTCCAGAGAAGCAACCTGGCAGACACTCCTATCAAAGTTACTACTGCTAATAGTGGGACTAATTAAGAGCACGTGCTTCCTTCACTGACAAGCACTCAGCAACACTCTGTGGTATTCGTGTCAAAGGACATAACTGCATTGAATCGTGAGGAAACATCAGACCAACCCAAACTGAAGGGCATTCTAGAGAGTACTGGGCCCATGCCCATATTCTTCAAATACTGTTTCAGATGAAAGGGATCAAAAGAGACAGAAAAGAGTGAACCGCTAAAATGCGATATATAATCTTGTTTTTATTTTTGCTACAAAGGATATTATTAGGACACTTGAAATTGGGACAAGGTCTGTAGATTACATAAATTTCCTGATTTTGATCATTTTACTGTGGCTATTTAGAGAGTTCCTTATTTTTAGGAACTATATAGATGGACAAAGAGAGAAGAGTGAAAAACTGAGAAAGATAAAACCAACGTAGAAAAATGTTAACATGGGGAATCTGAGTGAAAGGCGATGGAAATTCTTTGTATTACTATCGGAACTTTTCTCTAAGTCTAAAATATGTAAAAAAAAAAAAAAAGAAAGAAAACAACAACCCCACCTTATTTTTAAAAAGATTTTATTTATTTATTTAAGAGAGAGAGAAAGCATGAGTGGGGGAGGGGTAGAGGGAGAGGGAAAGACTCAAGCGGACTCCATGTTGAGTGTGGAGTCCAATGTGGGACTCCATCTCACAAACCTGAGATCCTGACCTGAGGTGAAATCAAGAGTTCCACATTTTGACCGACAGGGCCACCCAGGCACCCCAAAACCCACACTAAAGTCATTTAAAAGAATTCTCTCTGTGGTTATGCTTTCAGTTTGTTACCCAGTGAGGCCAATTTTTTGAATTAGATTTTGACTTTTGGTGTTTGGATTATATAAAACATGTACATGGGTGCCTGGGTGGCTCAGTCGGTCAAGTGTCTGCCTTCGGCTCAGGTCATGATCTCGGGGTCCTGGGATTGAGCCTCACATAGGGCTCCCTGCTCAGCAGAGAGTCCGCCTGTCCCTCTCCCTCTGCCCCTACCTGCCCTACTCATGCTCTGCCTCAAATAAATAAATAAAATCTTTAAAAAAATAAAACGTACGTAATTCCAAAGTCTACACTGTAAACAAATTTCATTCGGAGAGGTCTAGCTTTTGTACCTTCTCCTTCCCCTTATTCTCTCCTTCCTCTTCTGTAAGTATTTGTATTATTTTTTAGTTTATCCTTCCATTGTTCGTTATCTTTTATGAAAATAAGAAAATACATACAGATATTCAAAAGTTTCATGTAACAGTATGATTGGCGGGTCCAAAGCAGCATCTAGAGATTTTCAGGGAGGTTTGTTTTTGTTTTGTCTTTGAGAGAGAGAGAGAGAGAGAGAGACACTTGTGTGCCGATGGGAAAGACCCCGTGGAGAGGAAAACAGGACCCAGGAGAAAGAAAGGATAGGATATAGTGTGCAGGTGGGGAGAGGGGTTGGCCCCAGCGACAGTGAGGAAGGCAGGGTCTGGGACAGAGCACCTGTAGATGCGAGCAGATGGGGATGTAGGAGTACGAGGAAGTTCTCTTCTGAGTACTTCTGTTTTCTATTTACGTTGAAATAAAAGTGATCTTCAGGCAGGAGTCGGGGAGGAGAGGGGGTTGTTGGCAACTTGAGCAGTGTGAAGGTGTGGAAAAATATTTTCAAAGAATGGGACAATGGATTGACTAAGACAGTGGTTCTCAAACTTCAGCCTCAGAATCATATGGATTTGCTGGCTTCCCCCCCCCCCCCCCCCCAGTTTCTGATCATAAGGTCTGGGATAAGGTCAAGAACATGCATTTCCAACAAGTTCTTGAGTGATGTTGATCATGGGAGCTATGCTTTGAGAACCAAAAGACTAAGGAAATATAGCAGGACTGCTGGCCGCGCTGAGGCTCACTTGAGGTTTGTGGTCATGAATGCTAAGTGAGAACAATCAACACAACTGGGTGTTACCTAGTAGTCCTCATTTCAGCCAGCAGGGTTCCGGTCTGGAGTAGGTGATGAGCTGAATTTTACCAGGATTGGGATTTAGATGGAGAGAGGATGGTGATATTCGTAATGGATGGTGCCAGACAAATGTATCCATTTATTTATGCTTTTCTACTTCCATCTTTATATAAATGATGAGCTAAGATACCAACAAAGGAGGAAGAGGATACATGAGAATGAGCAAAGAATGAGAGAGACAGAACGTAGAAAGCTCAGAATGAATAGGAAAAAGCTCATGAAAGGGAAGAACCAGAGAAAGATTACAGATCTTCCTGAACTTACAATGGGGTTATGCCCTGATAAATTCATCATAAGTTGAAAATACTGTAAGTTGAAGATGCAGTTTAATACATCAAGCCTCCCGAATATCACAGCTTAGCCCAGCCTACCTTAAACATGTTCAGAATACTTACATTAGCCTCCAGGTGGGCAAACTCATCTGACACAAAGCGTATTTTATAATAAAGTGCTAAGTATATCAGGTAATTTATTCGCTACTATATCCAGAGTGGAAAAGAGAATGATTGCACAGCTACAGAATGGTTAAACGTATATTGGTTGCTGATACTCATGATGCTGTGGCTGACTGGGAGCTGTGGCTCACTGCCATGGCCCAGCCAATACGAAAGAGGATTGGGCCACCTATCGCTTGCCTGGGAAGAGACCAAAATTTGAAGTGAGGTTTCTACTGAATGCATATTGCTTCTGCATAATTGCAAAGTCAAAAAATTGTAAGTTGAACCACTGTAAGTTGGGGACTGTATGTATACTCAAATCTGGTTACAGTAGGGTCACCAGAGCACTGAAGATTAAAACAGAATTAGTATTTTGCAAATGGAGGCTAAGGTGTAGAAAAATAGCTGGTATAACATAAAAAACACTTATATTAGATTTAGTGAAACAGAATGCTAATAAATACCTATTTAGTTATTAAAAAGAAAACTCGGTCACAAGCACCAAAATATATTTGCACAGCCTTGTTTATCACAGCATTATTCCCAACAGCCTAGGGGTGGAAGCAACCCAAATGTCCATTGACAGGTGAATGGAGAAAGAACACGTGATACATATACATACAGTGAAACATTATGTGGCCTTAAAAAGAAGGAAGTCATGTCACATGTTGTAACTTGGGGTGAACCTTGAGGATATTATGCTCAACAACAACAAAAAAAGCCAGCGGGAGAAGTACAGTATATGATTCCACTCAAATGAATTATCTACAATAGCCCAAATCATATCAAGTAGAAAGGGAACTGCCAAGGGTAGGGAAATGGAATTAGTGTTCAGTGAGTGTAGAGTTTCACTTTTGCATGATGAAAAAGTTCCAAAGATCTGCTGCACAAGACTATAAATATATTTAATAGTACTGAGCAAGTTTAATACTATCGGGTTTTTTTCTTTTTCTTTTCTTTTTTTTTTTAAACACCGCGCACACACAAAATTCCTGCCAGACCCACACAGTAACCCTCTTCCTTCTCAGTAGTTCTAAGGGGAAGTAAGAGCTACGAAGTATTTTCATTCTAGCAATTTTAAAATATTTTGTCCCATGTGTCATATTCATAACAAACCAAAAGCTCTGGAGAATATGAGTTCAGAAGAGTGAATGCATCCAGAAATAATGAGAATGTTAGATAAAGCCTAATGAGTTAAATACTGTTTAGGGTAAACAAAGCTGCAGGGTAACAATTATGGGGAGGATAAAAACTAATCTTTCACTTCAGATGACAAGGAAAAAAGGGAAATGCCATGAAACTGCAGGGCCAGCAGTTACATAGATGGACAGTCATTAAATACTGGACTAAAAATAAAAACTGTAGAATCCCTTCATTATTTTCTTTAAAACAGAGATTTCAGTTTACTTGGGAGAATTTATCGTAGTGATAAAAAGGGGAGAATACCATCGTAAATCTCATCTAGTCCTAAGACTGTAACATTGTTTTAGAAAATAAATCCAAGGTCTTAAAGGGATCCATGAAAATCTACTAAAATAACGTACAGCCCCAAAAAAAAAACCTCAAAAAAAACCCCTCAGGAATAAAATAATTCTAATATCTAATATCTAATAATCTGTTACTGATGTTAGTACAATTCAATACAGGAATGCCATTTTATGTGAAAAACTTAATTTCTAAAATGAATCCTGAAAGAAACATATTCAGTGCTTACTATGCCTCATTTCTTAGCAAAAACAGAGAATGCATAACTCTGCTTACAATTTATAAAATTTCTTTGTTTGGGGCAGGGATAATGGAAAACCTCCCACAATCGTGAAGGTGAAAGGTATTCATATGAAATATAGAAATGATTTTCTAAAGGTTAAGTCTTTAGACATAAAATGTCTGCATGCTAGTGGGCTTCTGAACATTTTCACAAGGAATCGGAGGGATGGCATATTGAAGAAAGAAAAAAAAGGGGGAAAAAAAAAAAACCTTGTTACCACATGCAAATATAAAAAAAAGGCAACCTCAACCAATTGTACCACGACCGGATGGAGGAGCCCAGCTGACATACAAAGACAAGTCTCTGTGTTTAGGGAAGCTTGGGGTTCTGCTCCTTCTACTGCAAGAGAGCCTGACCTGTGAGTACTCCTTGATTTCAACTCTATAAATGACCCATTATTTCAGTTAAAATTTGATTGTCTGAATACTAAAAGTGAAACCTGCTTTTTGGTGACTAGCAGTGCTTTGCTTTTTAGAGACCTGAGTCAACTGCTTCAATGAGACCTCTCTGCCTTGATTTGACTTAAAATGAGGCTGTCCTCTTAGTTACTGGAAGTTCTGTAGGTCACTGCGGGTACTGAAGCTCGTATTATCAATATTGTCACGTTGCTTATGCTGTCTTTTGTATATTGCCATAAAGACTTGCAGGGCCACTTGAACCCATTAAGAGTTATTTTCATATACAATGAATTTTATCTCCAATGTATTATAAATGATCACTTACTAACTTTATTGTTTTGCTGTTTCCCTCTTTGCACCAGTTGTGCTTTATTGTATTGTTACTATTTTATGGTAATTGCCAGATGAATTAAATTTTAAGTTGGGTGTTTCTGAAGTAAATGAGGTGAATATTAGAAAAAAGAAAAAGCAAAATACATGGTAGTTACTTCAACTGAAATGTTTCCAAATGCTTTTTTAGACACAGTTAGGTTTATAACAAAACGTAATGAACTAGTAATAGTATTATTTCCACAGTAACGTGCTTCCAATTGTGATTCTGTATGCAGCAATTAATGTGACCTTTGAAGCATGGCCTGAATGACTCAGTGGCCAGCAAGTCAAACTACAGTGAAAGGTTGCTGCCATTGCCATTACTGCCAAATAGGTATGTATTTTCACATAGCAATGTGATGTTTTCACAAACATACCCAGAATGCATTTAAAACCTTGGACTCTTTGGAGGCCACAGTAGAATGTGTTGGGCGCTGGCCTCCACTACAGAAGCTGAGGCTTCTACATGTCTACAGACATCAGCCAGTTTGCAACTACTGGCCAGGGGGGTGGTGGTGCTGGGTACAACGCAACACTAACACAGTGGGACAAGCATGAGGATTTGTCAAGTAACAACCTTAAAAAAAAAAGAAACAAAAACTTTTGCCATCTACTCTCAGAAAACCATTGTGACCATGTCAATATAGCACACAAGTCACAAGTAACACCCACTGGGAAATTTGTCCACTGTGCAAATATAGTGGTTTGTTTCTTGTTCTCATTGGCCATTCTTAAATGAGTAGTTTTTAAAACATCAATAAATGGCCTTAAAGAACAGTGAGTGAGTGACACATTGTAAAGAAGGTGAAAATCAGCCATTAAGTGTAAAACAGAATGTAATCTGTTAATTTGTTAATAAATGAATGGACACTAGTCATATAATACATGGCTCTAAATGATGGCCACTGTTACTATTTAAACAAATGCATTGCTTTTGCTTTATTTTCTTTAAGCTTACAAATAGAGCAAAACCAGAAAGGTCTATTGGCAACCCTGTCCAACTATTACTAATTTATTTTATTGGCAGATTGAAGCTGGAGCAAATGGTTTCAGGATATGTGCTTTGTAGAAATATCTTGATGATGGCTTTCTAGAAATCTCTTGATGATGGCTTTCAGGCCTAGAAGTTAAGTTTGAAAAGATACGCTCTGGGAGATCTGCTGAACATTCTGATGAATGATTTGTGATACTGTAAATGCTAGACTTCTTTACTTACTAAAATGGGCAGAGCAAATGAGAAGAGTAAGACCTTTTTCCAAAGAAGTAAAGGTAGAAGGTATAATCTCTTCTTAAAATTGCCGCTGTGAGGGGCACCTGGCTGGCTCAGTCAGTAGAGCATGTGACTCTTGATCTCAAGGTTGTGAGTTTGAGCCCCCACATCGAACGTAGATTACTTAAAAATAAAGTCTTTAAAAAAATCATTAATGTGGATAATGTTAAAGGAACCATGTCTAGATACTGCTGACAGGACTCAGCATTAAAAAAGAAAATGCTGATCCTATGTGATTAGGAGGAGTGAGGTTTAGCGAAAAGGATCATAGGCAGATCTGAGTTCCAGCTCTGGGAATGCCATTTGAGAGCCGCACGGTCACGGGTAAAGTTGGCAACCTCTTGATCTCTCATTACCTCTTTTGGAATACCTACCTCACAAGGTTACAATGAGGATTATGCAAATGAAGTAATATCAATGTGCTTAACACACCGTGCAGTACATGGCAACTGCTAAATAAATATTAGTTAGTGGTCCAGCCATCTAGCTCAAGGGTTCAATTCTGGCTGCAGATTAGAATCCTCTGAGGAGCTTTTAAAGGAAACCACTGCCTGGAGCCCGCTGCAGACCAATTAAATCAGGAGATCTGGGGTTGGAGCCAGGCATGGATACCCTTAAAAAGCCCTCAAAAGGATTCTAATAAGCAGCCGGGACTGAGAGGCACTGAGAGTCTCTTCTACAAAGCACCCAATCAGTGACTGTCTCGAGATATCTGGGGCTAAGACCCCTATTGCCTCCCAAGATAGCCTGTTTCATTCTAAAACAGCATTTCCTTAATAGGAGGCCACATCTGTCTCTGCAGTTTCCAGTCACTAGTCCTTGTTCTGCTTTCTGAAAACACAGATCACAGGTGAAATTCTTTTCTCCGTGGCTCTGTAAAGTGTTCCCATCTCCAGAATTGGGTGCTTGTTTCCTTCAGCTTGCTCGTATGACAAGATTTGGGCTTTTCTCCCCCTTTTGTTCTGTGCCCGTTTCCACATGTGCTGTTGGGATGAAACACTGCATTCCACATGAGGCCCAGAGGTCCTCCCAGCTTGGGACTGGCAGTAACACCCCTCAGATTAGTAGTAATGGTCTTCATCTAAGGCACTCTGTGTCTACGAATTCAGCCAAAGAAGGGGGTTGGTTCTTGTGGCAGCCACAGAACGCTACCAACACAGCAACCACAGTCAATTGCAATTTCATTTCTTACTGCAGCTCAAGCCCCTCCTGTGCTTGAACAGCTGATTTTGAGATCCTCATGTACAACCTCACCTACTTTTCTACTAAATTCCCTCTTTTATTCAATAATATTTATTGGGCTGAGAGGCAAACGAAAAGGACTTGGTTCGGAACCCTAATGGGGTTTAAAATACAGCACAGGAGGAGGAAAAAAACCCAACCCAAACCAAAAGAACTACTTACAGAGGAGTTCTCACAGTCGTTTTGGCTGTCTGAGCTCTCAAAATCCTATCACTTGCCATTAAGTTCCTCTTCATTGGGGGGCAATGAGAGGTTTCTACCTGAGCTTCTGCAAGCTCCCCATGTAACCACACAATGCAAATCCCTCCTTCAGGCACCCTTTCCCTCTTCCTGGTAATCTAGATCGCATTTATCAGCTTCATTTTTTTGGCAGCCCGCCATTCTTCCTAGATGGCCCTTTCCTTTTAGAATCTCAGATCACCAGAAACATGCCTGTAAGTTTCTATAAACATCGCCGACATCGGTCTTCCTGCAGTTGAGACACAGGACAGACCTGAACTCTGCAGACAGGCCCTCACCAGGGATTACATAACTTCCTCTTTACCAGTTGGTTCCTCTTCCCTGGAATCAATTTTCCCTCTTTGACAATATTTTAAAGTGGAATTTTACCCTCAATGGCGTGGTTTCTTCTCGATCAAATTATAGACAGACTTTTAAGAAAAGATAAGTTCTTCCAAATGTTTTTTTCTCTGTGTATCATGCCACATCAAGAAGTTACTGTAATTCAAATCCACTTTACATGATAGCATTCAGAATCTGAATGCACATGCCTACAAAAACGTTTACTGACAGCAGGAACGTGGTCTTGGTCACCTTTGTTTTCCATGTAGTATTTAGCCAGGTGTGAAATATTTACTAAAGTGAGATTAGTCCAAAGGTGGTTTTTTTTTTAAAGCTAATTTTCATGGAGCACTTTTATGTGCTAGGGTTAAGTTCTTCATACACATTGTGCATTTCTACAGATAAGAAAATGAAGGCTTAGAAAAGATTAATTGGTTTGATCAAGGTCACAGAGTTAGGTCTGATTTTGGTAACCTTGCTCTGAACATCTTTATGTTACATCTGCTAAGATGCCGCTGTAGAGAAATGGGGCAGTCGCTCTAAGAAAGGAAGGGGATGAGACCTCCTGGAACCTTCTCTTCATGTCTTCTTGCTCCTCAGGATGGCCTCCCAGGCTGAGTTCTTCATAGCAATCAATGCCCAGGAAAAGGCCAAGAACAGGTAGCATTGTTAACATTCTCTGTTGCCACGAACAAGTGGAATCCACACTCTATCTCTTACAAGGTTCTAGCAACAGTCACCTAACACAGGGCACAGTAAGCTGCAGTTACTTATTTCAAAATCCTGGAATGTACATCCTGTTTTCCATCTCACTATCACTTTAGATTTCTAGGTCAGGAGACTGCCTGGCCCAACTGGCGGCTGTTGCCACCTGACTTGGTTTTGTTTGGCTACTTTGCTCTCCCGTTGCAGTGTTACAACAAGTCTGCCTAAGGAGGCAGGTGCTCTGCTCTCTTGGTCTGCCTGCCCCGCAGGCAAATGATTTTTTTTTTTAAAGATTTTATTTATTCACCTGACAGAGAGATCACAAGTAGGCAGAGAGGCAGGCAGAGAGAGAGGAAGGGAAGCAGGCTCCCTGCTGTGCAGAGAGCCCGATGCGGGGCTTGATCCCAGGACCCTTGGGATCATGACCTGAGCTGAAGGCAGAGGCCTTAACCCACTGAGCCCCCCAGGTGCCCAGGCAAATGATTTTAATATGCCCAACTCAGTCTTAGGTTGCAAAGGAAGAGATTGAGGACTCTTCCCTATTTATATCTTGGAATGGAAGACTGCCACAGTTTATCTGTCTTATGCTATGTGGTAACCCTTGTCAAAATGAATGAACGCCATATCCAAGGGAAGGCGTCAGGGCAAGAAGCTGGGCAGCGGTCAGCAGTGGGCCCAGCTCACTCATGGCTGTAACTACCTTAGGGATGTCCCTTATCTTTGAGCAATGTGAGCTGTCACTTCTCTTCACCTCCATCTCTATTCCTATAAGAAACTCCCTGTGGAAAGTGAAATAAACCTTGAACGTATACTGCAGCCATAGGAAAAGTTAGAGCAGGACATTCCCTAAGACTCTCCTACATTTACTGCTTGTTTTGTGATATCGTAATGCTGCTACATACGTAGTATAGATAGTCAAAGTTTCTCACGTCTAAAAATCAATCATGGATTATTTGGGCTTTGAGTTAAAACGACTGCTATTAAAATGACAAATGACTCGATGCTGCATTCTGTTGCAGGAAAAATCTGAAGACATAAAAGCTACACACAAGGAACATGTCATTGAGCACCTCTGCTTTTTGATCCCTACACCGGACAATGAGAAGTCACATGGTAACGACGATGAGTGCTTCAACCGGCAGCTGGCCTTCCTCCTCCCAGAAAGACAGCTTTATGGCCAGTCATAGCATCCAAGGGCTGAACCACTCAGGAGACCCAAGCAGTCCTAATCAACCTGGTATTACTGCTACTCCAAATGGTACCTGTCCCATGGATGAGAAACTACTCTCCAGCCTGTTAACAATATCCTACTCTGTTATTTTCATCGTGGGACTGGTTGGAAACATAATTGCCCTCTATGTATTTCTGGGTATCCACCGCAAAAGAAATTCCATACAGATTTACCTACTGAATGTAGCTATTGCAGATCTCTTACTGATCTTCTGCCTGCCTTTCCGAATAATGTATCACATTAACGGGAACAAGTGGACACTCGGTGTGATCCTTTGCAAGGTTGTGGGAACACTATTTTATACGAACATGTACATTAGCATTATTTTGCTTGGATTTATCAGTTTGGATCGCTACATAAAAATTAATCGGTCTATACAACAGCGGAGGGCGGTAACAACCAAACAAAGTATTTACGTTTGCTGTACAGTATGGACAGTTGCTCTTGCTGGATTTTTAGCTATGATTACCTTAACCCTTAAAGGAAATCATAATTCCACAGTGTGTTTCCATTACAGAGAGAAGCATAATGCCAAAGGAGAAGCAATTTTTAATTACGTTCTTGTGGTAATGTTCTGGCTAATTTTCTTACTAATAATCCTTTCATATATTAAGATCGGCAAGAATCTACTGAGGATTTCCAAAAGGAGGTCAAAATTTCCCAATTCTGGTAAATATGCCAAAACAGCCCGGAATTCCTTTATTGTACTTATCATTTTTACTGTATGTTTTGTTCCCTATCATGCCTTCCGATTTGTCTATATATCTTCACAGCTAAATAGCCCGTCTTGCTATTGGAAGGAAATCATTCACAAAACCAATGAGATCATGTTGGTTTTCTCATCTTTCAATAGCTGCTTAGATCCAGTCATGTATTTCCTGATGTCCAGTAACATCCGCAAAATAATGTGCCAACTTCTTTCTAGACGATTTCAAGGGGAAGCGAGCAGGAGTGAGAGCACTTCAGAATTTAAGCCAGGATACTCTCTGCATGATACATCTGCCACAGCTAAAATTCAGGCTACTGCTTAAAGCACTTGAGGGAAACACATTAAAAAGGATGAGAAAATATAACCTCTTAATTCCTTACAGAACTAAAAATTATGAAACAAAGCTCTAGCGTTTGCAAAGCTCAGACCTGTTCAAAGCTCTTTGCTTATTTGTGATATTTCATTTGCTTAGCTGTAAACTATTTCAAGGGAAAGAAAAGCTTATACTCATCACTAGATTTTAAATCTGTATGTAATGTCTTTTCAAAATAGGCTGTTAGCTTGCTAACACTCTTAACACAGATCATAAAGTGAAATTTATGGTTTTAACAACAGAATAATTAAAATGTCACGGTTTCTCAAGTCACTAACGTAGTTACTCAAACTCAAGCACTTAATACTAATTTCAAGTGCATTTAAAAGTAAGTTAAATGATTGGCAGACTGACAAGAATGTCAGAAAATGTATGTTCTTTGTCATTGAAAAAGCCTGTATAATTTGCTACTGTATTCATTTATGCCTAAACCTTTATAACAGATGAAATAATAAAATTCTAATAAAAAATGAAGTCACCCATTATCTATCACTGTTTAGATCAAATAGAAATAATTTAAATATGGTATAGTAAAGTCAAACAACAGAGGAGCTAAGATTTGATAGCCTAGCAATAGGATCTGAACCTACGCCTTACTTAAAACAGATTTAGAAGTGACTCAGCCATCTTGGACCATGTTGTGATAGAGTAAAATTGAAAATAGGCACACCCTATGGTCTACCACGTCTGACACTAGATATACATCTGACAGAACCACTCGAACATGTTTACAAGAAAACTTATACGTAATGATGCTCAGTGAACTGTTGGGTCATGATATCAAACAATTGAAACGATCTGAGTTGGGTATCCATCAGCAAAGGAATGGAGAAATACACTGTTCACAAAATGGAGTATTACACAGTGCTTTGATGAAATGAACTACACCTGCACGTGTCAACATGGGAGAATTATCCAAAAAATGCTGAATAGAAAAACACCCCAAAACCCAACTGCGAAAAGGTTGACACACCGTATGAAATCATTTATGTAAAATACAAAAACACATGAAATACCATATTCTTTCTGGACCTATAGATATGCAATAAAGGTACAAAATGTGAATAATATACACAACATAACACAACCAACTTCGGGTTATATGGTTACAGCTGGAGAGATCTGAAGCAAACATGGCAAAATGTTAAGTCGGTTAAACCTGTGTGATAGTACTTGGGTATTTATTATATTATTTTTGGCATATTGTTGAGTGTTTGCAATATTTTATAATAAAGAAAACTTAACAGATTAGAATTAAAGGGAGCAAATTCTGAAATCTTCAAGTATGCTCAAAAGTAAATGGAGAGTAAGCTCTAAGAAAAAGGGTTCTTATTTAGCAAGGGCTCCTGGGAACTTAGTGTGCTTCAAGGCACACAGGTAGCCAATAGGTATCTGGTGAATAATTGAATGAGTGAACAAATGAGCAGATGAGTGAGACAGGGAAGGGGGGTTGCTTAATAGAACTGAAAAAGTGGGTGTATTTTTTTTCCCTAGTCAATGTATCTCGATATAACTGCACAGAATATCATACAATTGGAATCAGGAGCTGTCATTAAGGCAACTATTTTTAAAAGTTTGTCCAGCATTTATTCAGTTTTTTGGTCACACAGAACCAGAATGCCATTGAGTAAATATGTAAAAGCTGTTATGACAAAGTCCAAGGATCCTCTCATATGTTTGTCACAGAGTAGGAGAATTTCTTAGAGTTAGAATAATTCTTCAAACTTCAGGTGGGCCAGTGGCTGGGGAATCAATGGTAAAGAGTATGAAGAATTTTGTTAGGGTTGAATTTATTTTAATGAGATTTGGTTTGTATATAATTACTGTGCAGCTGTGTATCAGTGAGTGCACGTGACTGAGTAAAGAACAGGTCAAAGTAGAATTATATTTAGAAAAAAAAACAAGAAATATTTGAGAATAAAAATGGAAATTTGCAGAAAAATTAGCAGCTTAGAAAAAATTTACATTACTTTGCTCTGACAATGTTAGCAAATACCACCAAACTGAAATTTAGCATTTCTATTTGTATGGTTTTAAAATACAACAATACTGGGTGCCTGGGTGGCTCAGTTGGTTAAGCAACTGCCTTTGGCTCAGGTCATGATCCTGGAGTCCCGGGACTGAGTCGCACATTGGGCTTCCTGCTCCACGGGGAGTCTGTTTCTCCCTCTGACCTTCTCCCCTCTCATGCTCTCACTCACTCTCTCTCTCAAATGAATAAATAAAATCTTAAAATATGACAACACTAATTTTCTCTCGTGTTCTCAAAGGTAAAAAAATTTTTTTATATTGCTGGTAAACAATTTATATCCCTACGTGTCTCTACTATAAACAGCTTGAATGGTTAGATTACATTGCGTGTGTGTGCGCGTGTGAGGGGGAAGGGGAGGGGCAGAGGGAGAGGAAAAGAATTCTCACTCAGACTCCCTGCTGAGCATGGACCCCCCCTGACACAGGCAGATCCCACAATCATGAGATCATGACATGAGTGGAAATTAAGAGTCAGATGCTTGGGATGCCTGGGTGGCTCAGCTGACTGGGCATCTGCCTTCAGCTCAGGTCGTGATCCCGGGGTCCTGGGATCAAGTCCCATGTTAGGCTCCCTGCTCACTGGTGAGGCTGCTTCTCTTTCTGCCTGCTGCTCCCCAGGCTTCAGCTCTCCTACCCTCTCTCTCTCTGACAAATAAATAAACAAAAGCTTTAAAAAAAAAAGAGAGAGAGAGACGCTTAACCGACTGAGCCACCCAGGTGCCCCACACAATGGCATTCTTTAAAAAAAAATTAAAAAGCACACTGAGTTAATTCTTGGTATAATAATTGTGGTAAAATAAATTTTGATAAAAGTCAATCTGAGCTGAAGTTTATGATGGATTTTATTTATTGACAGAACTTTCACTAATAAAGTCTTAGAGTAACCTGAATCCTGCAAATGTTTGTAAATTTTTTTTTAGATTATATATATATTTATTTGACAGAGAGAGATCACAAGTAGGCAGAGAAGTAGCCAGAGGGGGGAGGGGGAAGGAAGCCCCCTGCTGGGCAGAGAGCCCCATGTGGGGCTCAATCCTAGGGTCCTGGGATCATGACCTGAGCCGAAGGTGGAGGCTTAACCACTGAGCCACCCAGGCGCCCCATGTTTGTAAATTTTTGACATGATACTGACTTACGAAATTTAAAGCTATTTATTATATATAATCTTTAATTTCTTATTAAGCATTAGTGTTTTCAAGCAGGAAACACTTGTCCCTACATCCCCCAACCCAACGTTTAGTTCTAGAAGCATGCAGAAAAAGGTAATTCCCGAGTATACATATATCCTCACCTTGCAAAAGATACTCAGAACAAGTTTCTAAATAGCATCTCACATATGCAAAACTAAACAAGGGCAAAATAAAATGCCTGGCGGCCAGACTGATACCCAATGCTGAGTACTGCTGTTCGTTTTGGAAAAGTATTTGGAGCAGAGCTGGGTTTGATGATGGTTAACTTTCTAAGATCAGATCACTAGAAAAAAGAAATTCTGTTCAAGTCCAGAAGGTTTTATTTTCAACTTCTTTGATCAGGTCACTAGAAAAAGTAAATTTTGTTCAAGTCCAGAAGGTTTTATTTTCAACTTCTTTTTAAAATGGATTCTTTAGTCCTGCCAGTATAAAAGTAGAACTAATAAAATTACAACTCTTTGAAGCAAAGCCTTACTGAAAGTTACCTACAAGAGAAAACAGCATGAAATAGAGTTCTCCTAACAGGCAACCTGGATTTTGCAGAAACATATTAACAGGCTATTTTTAAGGTTTGTTTTAAAAGATTTTATTATTTGTGTGTGTGTGTGTGTGTGAGAGAGAGAGAGAGAGAGAGGACACATCAGCGAGGATGAGGGGCAGAGGGATTGGGAGAAGCAGGCTCCCCACTGAGCAGGGAGCCGGATGTGGGCCCAGGACCCCGAGATCATGACCTGAGGTGAAGGCAGACATTTAACCAACTGAGCCACCCAGATGCCCTAGGTTTTTGAAATATAATGGAGACTTATTTTACCAGATATTAAAGTATATTCTTATCTTTCAATAAGGAGAACTCTGTGCACCAGATACAAGGATAAGCTTATCACTGGAACAGAATACACATCTTTAAGCAGGCCCTCAATGATACAGGAGAAGATTATATAACGTAATTAACGCCTCTCAAAAGAGTAGGGGCAGGAATGATCAGAGGGAAACCTAAGATTCTGTTGCTCAAGATGTGCCAGAATCTTGCAAAGTGGTGTTAAGTGAATTTTTGAAAAGTTTTTTGAGTGACTGCAACACACTTTCCTCCTTCAGAAAGAACCACTGCAAATAAAGGGAGACATCACGAAAAGCCTAGGGGAAGGAAGGGATGGATTAATAAAAAGTGCTGTGCTTATTAATAAAAAAGTCAGTTTATAGCCTTACCTCATGTCACACACAAAACATTATAAAGATTATATATAGATTGTTGCATGTAAATAATGGAACCATGAAAAGATTTAAAAACAAGTGACTGGGAAAGAACTTCCTATTAATCAAACAACAGAAATAACTATAGGGAGAATGCATAGCTTATTTTTTGGTCAAAAACCGCACACAAACATAAATGCAAAAGGTCAGAGTGGCAAAAACGTTCACAACAGTTGTGACATCTACAAGGAAAGCCTTTTAGGTCAGGCACCAACAGATGCCATAACTTGCCAAGAAACTTCTATTTTTTCATCAGAATAAAGTATTCAAAACCCAGAATATAATCGGAATTGTGTCAGCTGAGACAGAAACTAAGGCATGCTCTCACGTTGGCTGAGGCCACGTCTTTTTTCACAGCGACGCGTCCCCGGTGAGCACACACATAGGTATGTGGCTGCGGCAGTACGTCGTCAGTTCAGTCTGGTTTGCAGACACACACCAGCGCTGGCTGGGGGATGGTAACAGACTCAGAGCTGGAAAGGAAGTGCTAGGTTTGTCCTAAACTTCTGCTATGCCTCTTATTTCCCCCCTTTCAAGTTCACATGCGAGAAAATGAGCAGCAAAGTCGGAGATATTTGTGTGCGCCTTTTACGCTGCTAGGCTCTGGACACACATGATTGTCACTTAAACTACACTGCAAGTGGTGTCAAGAAAACTGCCTTTTTCATAGGAGGGGATGTGAGTTAGTAGGCTTTGACTCTACAGAAACTGTCTCTGCTAAGACAATGTTTTTTGTTTTCATTTCCGTCTGCCCAAGCCCATGGTTAACTACTGAGATGTCTTAAAAAAACAAAAAACAAAACCCCAAAACCCAAAATTGGTAATAACATGTATTTGGGACAAAAAATTCTGTTTACCACTCATCCAAATTGTGTGCAGTCAAAAAGCCAACATCTTAAAGGCTGGTTCTCTAGCTGTGGCACATTTGCCCACTCCGGGAAAGCTCTGCCTGAAACACGGACAGTAATCTAGTACAAGAGCCTACAGGTGGAATGGGGGGGG